AAAGTAAGAGGAAGATGGAAGGTCCTAAAGAATGATTTCAGGGAATTAGGTAGCAAACTTAAGAAAAGGACCTCCAAGGTGGTATTCTCTGAGATATTACCTGTGCCACGTGCTACAGTGGAAAGGCAGCGGGAGATTAGAGAGGTCAATGCGTGGCTTAAGTCTTGGTGCAGGAAGGAGGGTTTTGGGTTTTTAGAGCACTGGGCCGACTTTGCGATTGGGTACAACCTTTATAGTGGTGATGGATTGCACCTAAACGGGAGAGGGTCTGCAGTGCTGGGGGATAGGATGGCTAGAAGGTTGGAGGAGATTTTAAACTAGTAGTAGGGGGGGAGGGTCATAGCAATCTACAAAATGGAGATAGGACAGAAAGGAGATGAGCTTTAGCACAGTATAAGGGGGGTGGAAACGGGGGGAGGGGCAAGCTCAGAACAGAGAAGCTGTGTAATGTTGAAAATTCACAAAATATACAAGTGATGCATAATATTAAATGTATGCTTACTAATGCAAGGAGCCTAAATAACAAAATGGGGGAACTAGAGGCATTAGCATACACTAAACAATATGATATAATAGGCATAACTGAAACATGGTGGGATGAGACACATGACTGGGCAGCTAACTTAAATGGGTACATGTTATTTAGGAAGGATAGGAAAAACAAGAAGGGTGGTGGGGTATGTTTGTATGTCAAACATGATTTAAAGCCAAATGTTAAGCAAATGGAATGCGAGGAGGATAATGTGGAAGCTTTATGGGTAAATATCTGCTTGGGGGAAAAGAAGGGAAACCAACTATTGGTTGGGATATGTTATAAACCACCTAATGTTAATATTGACGAGGAACAACAGCTGTTTGAGCAAATTGAGAAAGCTGCAAATCTAGGTAACACTTTAATTATTGGAGATTTTAATTACCCGGATATAAATTGGGACAGAGGGACTAGTGCCTCAGCAAAGGGAATTAGGTTTTTAAACTTGTTAAATGACACCTTCATGTCACAACTTGTACAAGCACCAACTAGAATGGATGCTTGTCTGGACCTGGTTTTAACAAACAACGTTGATCTTTTGACCAGCATTCAAGTAGGTGAGCACTTGGGAAATAGTGATCACAATATAGTGTCCTTTGAAATAAACTCAAAAAAACAAAAGCACATGGGGAATACTAAAACATATAATTTTAAAAAGGCTAATTTCAATAAGTTAAGGGAAGCTTTACAATATATTGACTGGCATAAACTCTTTAGTGAAAAGAACACTGAGGATAAATGGATCATCTTCCAACAAATAGTACAAAGGTACATTTCTCAGTATGTACCATTGGGAAATAAATATAAAAGAAACAAATTAAAACCAACATGGCTTAGTAGAGAAGTAAAACAAGAGATTACAACTAAGAGAAGGGCATTTAAAGCATTTAAATAGGACAAATCAGATGCATCTTATAAAAGATATAAGGATGCAAATAATGCGTGCAAAAAGGCAATTAGACTTGCTAAACTTCAAAATGAAATAATGATAGCTGAAGAGAGCAAAACCAACCCCAAAACATTTTTTAAGTACATAAATTCTAAAAAAAAACAAAATGAAAGTGTAGGTACACTAAAAACTGAAAGCGAGGGGTATTTAATTAGCCAGAAGGCAGGAAAAGGCAGAATTTTAAAATAACTATTTCTCACTCCATTATATATTAGGAAGAACCCCATGGCAATAGATGTGCAAATGATTGCTACTAAAAACACAGAATAATTGTAATTGATTTAACTCAAGACAAAAGGTGCTGCAGCAGCTAAAAGAAGGAATTATATAAACAAGCTCCAGGGCCACAGCGGTATCCCATCCCGCATTTGTACTTAGGAACTAGGAGAATTGTAGAAATAAGTGAACCTCTGTTTTTAATCTTCCAAGATTCTTTTCTTTCAGGACGTGTTCTGGAGGAAGGCAGATGTGGTTCCTATATTCCAAAAGGGTTCAAAATCCTTGCCTGGAAATTATAGACCTGTAAGCTTAACCTCTGTGGCTGGGAAAATATTTGAAAGGTTATTAAGGGATAATATTCAAGAATTCCTTGAGAAGAACATAGTTATCAGCAAAAATCAGCATGGTTTTATGAAGCACAGGTCATGTCAAACTAACTTGATTGCGTTCTACGAAGAAGTAAGTAGAAGTATAGATCAGGGTGTTGCCGTGGATGTGATCTATTTGGAGTTTGCCAAGGCATTTGATACAGTTCCACACAATAGATTAGTGTTCAAACTCAAGGAAATCGGTCTAGATGAAAATACTTGTTCTTGGGTAGAACATTGGCTTAAAAACAGAGTACAAAGAGTTGTCATTAATAGTAAATTTTCAAGCTGGACAGAGGTGGCAAGTGGTGTCCCTCAGAGGTCTGTTCTGGGACCCCTTCTATTTAAAATGTTTATAAATGATCTTGAAGACCGCATTGAAAGTCATGTTTCAGTGTTTGCAGATGACACCAAACTTTGTAAAACAATACAATGTGAGCAAGATATTACTTTGCTGCAGAGGGACTTAGATAGACTGGGGGACTGGGCACTCAAATGTTTAATGTTGAAAAATGCAAAGTTATGCACTTCGGCATAAAGAATACACAAGCAACGTATACCCTTAATGGAAGCGAATTAGGGATAACAACACATGAAAAGGACTTGGGAAATGTTATAGACAACAAGCTATGCAACAATTTGCAATGTCAATCAGCAGTGGCCAAGGCCAGTAAGGTATTGTCATGCATGAAAAAGGGCATTCATTCTCGGGACAAGAATATAATTTTGCCTCTTTATAAATCACTGGTAGGACCCCATATTGAATATGCTGTGCAATTTTGGGCACCTGTTCTAAATAAGGATATTATGGCAATAGAAAAAGAGCAGAGGCGGGCTACAAAATTAATAAAAGGAATGGAACATATCGGCTATGAAGAAAGGTTAACAAATTTAAACCTATTTAGTTTAGAAAAACGTCGCCTGAGAGGGGATATGATAACATTATACAAATATATTCGTAGCCAATACAAACCATTGTGTGGAAATCTATTCACAAACCGGACTTTACATAGGACACGAGGCCATGCGTTTAGACTGGAAGAAAGAAGATTTCGTCTAAGGCAAAGGAAAGGTTTTTTTACTGTAAGAACAATCAGGATGTGGAATTCTCTGCCTGAGGAAGTGGTTTTATCGGAGTCCATACAGATGTTCAAACGGCTACTAGATGCATACTTGCAAGAACAGAATATTCAAGGATATAATCTTTCAATGTAGGGTAATAACTGCTTGATCCAAGGATAAATCTGACTGCCATTCTGGGGTCAAGAAGGAATTTTTTTCCTAGCTTGTTGCAAAATTGTGCTTCAAACTGGGTTTTTTTGCCTTCTTTTGGATCAACAGCAAAAAACAAATGTGAGGTAGGCTGAACTTGATGGACGCAAGTCTCTTTTCAGCTATGTAACTATGTAACTATGTAACTATAACTCAAGGCCGCTCCTTCATATCACGACTCTCGTATCTTTTTCCACGCCTCCTACACGACACACACAGGTTGTCCTTAGATAACCAAGCTACGGCAGACCTACGCATGTGGAAGGAATTTTTAACCACTTGGAATGGTAAAAGTATGTTCCTCACTCAAGTGACTGACTCATCACCTACAATTTGGTCAGATGCAGCATCTACCACAGGTTTTGCAGCAATTTCTGGGAACGAATGGCTTTGTGGCAGCTGGCCTACTGCAGTTCAGGATTTGGAAAGTTTTTCCACTACCTCAGCTCTCTTTGAGATCTATCCCATTGTGGCGGCTGCCGTACCATGGGGGTCATTTATGGTCATATATGCCAGTTCGTTCTTACTCAGACAACCAGGCAACCTGTCACATCATCAACAAAGGTCGCTCCAAATCCCTTACGATCATGAGATTTCTGAGGAAACTCACGTGGTTGGCAGCTTGTCATAATTTCGTTCTATATTGTTTCCATGTTCCAGGAAAATGTAACACAGCTGCTGACCGTTTGTCTCGTTTTAAATTTCAGGCATTTCATCAAGCACTCCTGTCAGCTGCGCTCAAAGCCACTACCACTCCAACATTTCTACAACTAATACTGGACTAGACATCATTAGACATCATAGCAGGACACTGTCCCAATTGGCACTGTCAAAGAATACACACAAAACATACGACAGGGCTTTTACACTATTCAAAAGATTCCTTTTGAGATATAACATCATGCAACCATTTGTTATGACATCTTTTTGGGGTTTTGCTTCTTTTTGCCACCTTAAACTTAAAATGTCATATAACACCATCAAACTTTATTTCACAGGCATTCAACATCATATAGATAGAAAAAACACAGGTGTAGGCGCTCTCTAAAATGTATAGGTGGACGGCAGCAGTAAACCTGCAGGACTTCCCAATACCTGCTATTAACCAGAAAGTGCAACAACAGAGTGGTGAACCGCACCACAGGATAGTAGAGGATAATTAAGTATGAATAACAACATATACATACATACAGGGTATCCCAGTAATAAGGTAATAAATATAAACCTTAAAAAGATAAAAATAGAGACAATAATAGTGCAGTATATCAATGCAAGGAAATAAAGTGAAATATTGACAAATATATAATATAATATTGACGGGTGGAACAAATAAAATCCAATAGTGTAATATGTACTGAAAATGTGAAATAAAAGCAAAGGGTAAATACCCTACTTACAGTTTCCAGAGCACTAAACTTGCTCTGGTGGTGAAAGCTTGTGGTGGTATAATCCCCACCAAGGGATATAAGCAGGATCCAAAGTGCACAGGAATAAGAGGTAGATCAAGGATGGAGGTAGAAACAAACTACAACTTTATTATTAAAATAAAAAATCTTGAGTATAAAATCTATAATAAAAGTCCAAAATCCAAACTTCTTGATCCACTTTACGCGTTTTGCCCAGATAAGGGCTTCTTCAGAAGTGTTAATTTTGAGGAGTATCAGTTCAAATCCTTATATAGGGCGTTGATTAATTCCATTTTATTCCGGTGTGTGCACTCTTCCTGCTTCCGGCAGGTGGCGTGCGTCGACCGGAAGTGACGCAAAGCAGCTTGCAGGGGCTGACGGGATATGTAGTCCTGGTATTGCTGATAATTCCGGTAGTCGCGTACGTCGCCGAAATATGACGTCACCCGACTAAAGGTGCATTCTGGGGGGGGTAGTTCATTGAACAGGCTTTCAATCTTTCGGCATCCTCGGTTAAAAAGGAGGAAATTAGACATGATCATACAAGTATATATACACGCCGAATATGTAAAACTAACAGTTGTTAATAAACTTTGGTGCAAACCTATATAGCAAAGCTCATTAATACACTTTGGAAAAAACATAATTCTATTATATAGCAACAAGACTTGTTAATACATTTTGATAAAAATCTTATTTGTGCATCTGCAGTACAATTAAAGGACCGTTGTATCTGTACACCTAGACATCAAAAATATACATTAAGCTCTATATAAAATAAAAGAACACCAATATTTGTAGAAATATTTGGTGAACCTTTACATTATAGGAACATAGGAGAGGTGTATGGTATCAATAAAAATTACAAAATTAAAAATTAAAATTCACTTGATAAACCATAAAAATGTAGGATGAAGTGAATTGTTAAGAGTATACTATGTAAAAAATTATAAAAAATAGTAAAAAATTATAAAAAATTAAAAAGATCAAATTCAGCATTGAGTCCATTGGGTTGTAATGTATCTAGAAAATATACCCACTCCATCTTTTTTTTTGCCCAATTTTTTAACCATATCACCACCTCTCCAATATTGAGATAGTTTCGTGATACCAATAAATTTAAGTAGGCGTGGGTCATTATTGTGTAATTCAAAGTGAGAAGATACAAGATGGTTTTTAAAACCCTTTTCTATATTCCTGCAATGTTCTCCAATTCTAGTTTTTAGGGGTCTTATAGTTCTTCCCACATATTGTAAACCACACAGGCATTCTAATAGATAGATCACATTCTTACTCATACATGTAATAGTGTCCTTGATCTCATATTTTCTATTAGTATTATTTGATTTAAAATCCACAGTATGTCTGTTAATTTTTTTAGTTTTCTTACAAGCTACCCAGCAATTACATCTAAAAAATCATTTCTTGTTACTTAAAAAACTATTCAGAACATTTGAATTTTCTTTTTTAGTGTAGTTCTTTGTAAGTTGCATTTTTAAATTTGGGGCCCCTCTGAATACTATTTTTGGTTGATCTGGGATGATTTTCCCTAATATTCTATCTTCCTTTAATAAATGCCAATTCTTTTTGATTATTTTCTTTAAATGTTTATTTTTATTATTGTAGTCTAAGACTATCGGTAACATAAATTCTTTTCCATCTTTTTTATTCTTTTTATCTTTCTTTCTAATTAAAGTATTTCTATCCATACTTGATATTTCTTTTATATTCTTCTATTGCCTCTTTATTATATCCTTTTTCAATAAATTTCTCTTTCATCTCATTTGCCTGAACCCCAAAAATATTACCTTCCGAACAGTTCCTTTTTAACCTAAGTAATTAGCTTTTAGGGATACTCTGGAGCCAACTTTTATAATGGCAACTATCTGCTTCAATAAAATTATTAACATGTACATCTTTAAAATGAGTTTTTGTGTGGATTCTCTTATCTATAATATAAATATCAAGGTTTAAAAAAGTGACATTAGTTCGACTAAAACCTGTTTTTAAAATGATACCATCCTCATTATCATTTAAAAATTCCATAAATTGATTGGCGATAGGGAGAGGGCCTTTCCATATCAGTAAAAGGTCATCTATATAGCGAAAATAGGCATCCAGGTTCTCCACCCAGCCATGTCCGCTCCACACCATTCTTTCCTCCCATTCTGTCATGAAAAGGTTGGCATAGCTGGGTGCGAACCTGGTCCCCATCGCTGTGCCGTTTTTTTGTTTATAAAAAGAATCCTTGAACCAAAAATAATTATTATTAAGGGTTAGATTGATTCGCTCAATTATAAAGTCTATTTGTTCTAATTTCATATTGTTGTGTCTTTCCAAAATTTTTCTTACAGCTCTGCAACCTTTATTATGTTGAATAATAGTGTAACGTGATTGCATGTCACAGGTAATTAGCACATATTCATCGTTCCAATCTATATTTTCCAATTTATTAAGGAGGTGTATAGTGTCCTTTAGATAGGATTGACTTAGTTTGACATATGGCTGTAACATTATGTCTATGTATTCCGATACATTAGAGAGAACAGAATCTATACCGGAGACAATAGGTCTTCCAGGCGGTTTTTCAACACATTTATGAATTTTTGGTAAAAAATATATTACTTGGATCTTTGGGAATTTTTTGTTCAAATAATTGTATTCATCAATATCCAATATATTTTTCTCTTTTCCTCAATTTAAAAAATCTTCTAATAGGATTTTAACTTCCGGGGTGGGGTCTTTAGATAGTTTTATGTATGTATTATTATCATCTAATTGTCTAAATGCTTCTTCCTCATACATTTCTGCTGATAAAACTACCAGACCTCCCCCCCCCCTTTATCGGCCGGTTTAATAACAATTGTTTCGTCCCTTTGTAATTCTTTCAAGCCCTCTCTTTCCTTTTCTGTAAGATTATATTTATCGCCTTTATTCTTAACATTTAGATCTCTTATGCTTTTAGTTACCTTTTTTTCGAACATATCTATTGCAATGGATTTACAATGTGATGGATAAAATTTGGACTTGTTTTTTTTTTAAAAAACTCTTTACATAAGTATGATTTTCCTTGCTCTCCAAAGTTTTATTATTTGTAGTATTACTTTTACCCATATAGAATCTCTTTAGAGTGGCGTTACGCACAAATTTATTAACATCTATATAGGCCAAGAAGGGATTAAATATTTTTGTTGGAGCATATTTAAGTCCTTTGTTTTGTATTTTTAACTGAATATTTGTTAGTGATTTTCCTGATAGGTTAAAGATCCCTCTATTTTCATTTTCACTTATGTCTTTATTTAACATCGCTCAGTTCTTCCTTTTTTGTTTTTTTCGTTCTGACCGCCTTCCTCTAAAGTCCTTTTGCGGCCTCTTAATGGGCTGGTATGTTCGTTTTTTCTTTCCCGATTCGACGGAATCTCTAAAAAAGATATCTCATCGAGTTGTTCGGAGAAAGAAAGTGTATGGTACCTATTATGTGTTGGAATATCTTCTGGAGGGCTATTCCTAATATCATGAGTTCTCCTCTCTTCCCTTTCCCAGGGGTGTTGATTAGTTTTGGTTCTTATTTCCCTTGGGGATCTATAACCTTGTGTTGACCTGTAGGTTTTTGGCCTAACTACCATTGTGGATTCATTAGTGTCTTTCTGTGTGTAGAATATCTCTCTTTTATCCAGACTTTCTTTATGGTGAATTGTGTCCATTCTGTTATTTTGTGTAAACTTATTTGTTCTTTCTTTTACATGCATATCATTTTGGGATTGATTTTTCATGAATGTGTCGGTCTTTTTCGTTTCATAATTATGTCTTTGTTTATAGCTGACAGATAGCTGGGATCTGAGCGCACAAAACTACCAAATAGCGCTCAGATCCTATTCACACAGTTCAATTGCCATGGAGCCGAAGTCTTTAACTACACGAATGGGCTCCATGGCATAGCTATCTGGGTTAACACATTTACATAAAGTCTGGTCCATAGTCCAAAGGCAGCAGGCAGGCAGCCAGGCTTCTCCAATGCAATGTGGCGAGATTGCTCTCGTCACATTGATGAATACAATTATTTGAACAAAAAATTCCCAAAGATCCAAGTAATATATTTTTTACCAAAAATTCATAAATGTGTTGAAAAACCGCCTGGAAGACTTATTGTCTCCGGTATAGATTCTGTTCTCCCTAATGTATCTGAATACATAGACATAATGTTACAGCCATATGTCAAACTAAGTCAATCCACTATTATTCAACATAATAAAGGTTGCAGAGCTGTAAGAAAAATCTTGGAAAGACACAACAATATGAAATTAGAACAAATAGACTTTATAATTGAGGGAATCAATCTAATCCTTAATAATAATTATTTTTGGTTCAAGGATTCTTTTTATAAGGATGGTATCATTTTAAAAGCAGATTTTAGTCAAACTAATGTCACTTTTTTAGACCTTGATATTTATATTATAGATAAGAGAATCCACACAAAAACTAATTTTAAAGAAGTACATGTTAATAATTTTATTGAAGCAGATAGTTGCCATTATAAAAGTTGGCTCCAGAGTATCCCTAAAAGCCAATTACTTAGGTTAAAAAGGAACTGTTCAGAAGGTAATATTTTGGGGGCTCAGGCAAATGAGATGAAAGAGAAATTTATTGAAAAAGGATATAATAAAGAGGCAATAGAAGATACTATAAAAGAAATATCAAGTATGGATAGAAATACTTTAATTAGAAAGAAAGATAAAAAGAATAAAAAAGATGGAAAATAATTTATGTTACCGATAGTCTTAGACGACAATAATAAAAATAAACATTTAAAGAAAATAATCAAAAAGAATTGGCATTTATTAAAGGAAGATAGAATATTAGGGAAAATCATCCCAGATCAACCAAAAATAGTATTCAGAGGGGCCCCAAATTTAAAAATGCAACTTACAAAGAACTACACTAAAAAAGAAAATTCTAATGCTCTGAACAGTTTTTTAAGTAACAAGAAATGATTTTTTAGATGTAATTGCTGGGTAGCTTGTAAGAAAACTAAAAAAATTAACAGACATACTGTGGATTTTAAATCAAATAATACTAATAGAAAATATGAGATCTAGGACACTATTACATGTATGAGTAAGAATGTGATCTATCTATTAGAATGCCTGTGTGGTTTACAATATGTGGGAAGAACTATAAGACCCCTAAAAACTAGAATTGGAGAACATTGCAGGAATATAGAAAAGGGTTTTAAAAACCATCTTGTATCTTCTCACTTTGAATTACACAATAATGACCCACGCCTACTTAAATTTTTTGGTATCACAAAACTATCTCAACATTGGAGAGGTGGTGATATGGTTAATAAATTGGGCAAAAAAGAGATGGAGTGGGTATATTTTCTAGATACATTACAACCCAATGGACTCAATGCTGAATTTGATCTTTTTAATTTTTTATAATTTTTTACTATTTTTTATAATTTTTTACATAGTATACTCTTAACAATTCACTTCATCATACATTTTTATGGTTTATCAAGTGAATTTTAATTTTTAATTTT